CCTTCCTTCCTTCCTTCCTTCCTTCCTTCCTTCCTTCCTTCCTTCCTTCCTTCCTTCCCCTTTCTTCTTCCTTTCCTTCTTTCCTTATCTTTCCGTCCTTCCTCTTTTTTCCATCTTCCCTTCTTTTTCTTTTTCTTTCCTCTTTCCCTTTCCTCCTCTCCTGTTTCTAGGGCAGCGCCTGGTGAGCCATATGGGCTGAATTTGGCCCATGGGCCTTGAGTTTGACACCCCTGTGTTAGGCGAACACCACTATGGAGATTCTCCATCATCCAGGACACGGTTGTCCCAACGGCGCTATTTCAAGAAGCCACTGAATTTTCTTGGGTTTTTGGGAAGACATTTCGCTTCTCGCCCAAGAAGCATTAGTGAAACCACCATTGTGTTTCATTTACCCAGGTTTAACATGTCATGAGAACCTCATTGTCTTTACACAACTGCCAGACTTGTCTATGGAGATTCTCAGTCCTCCAGTGTTATCCCGTTAGCACTTCCAAGAAGCTTCCACACCCATTTGCACTATTCAGGTGACCCCGAGGGCACAGATAAACCTCCAAGTGGCCTCAACAACGCTCAGAAGCAGTACTAACGAACAGATAACTGCAAGGAATATAAATCCTTCCATCCTCCATCATTCCATCAGAACTGAAGAAGCTTCTTGGGTGAGAAGCAAAACAACTTCAAGGAAAAACCAAGAAGCGCAGTTGCCTCTTTGAAAAAAACTACCTTTGGGACAACTGCTCGGCTTCACGTTTAATTTCCCATTTAGCTATCTTGCTTAGCAACAAAAATTTTTTTTTACTACTGGTTCTGTGGGCGTGGCTTGGTGGGCGTGGCAGGGGAAGGATACTGCAAAATCCCCATTCCTTCCCCACCCCACTAACCTGCTTTCCAGCTCCGTTCTTGTTCTGACCCAAACCCTTTTCCAATCAAACAAACACGAACCAAAGGGAACAGAAACCTTTTAATGCTTCTCACGAATCCCCGGTTAAAAGGCTGCTGCAAACTGATTAACTTTGATAAGCACAAGCCTCGCCAAAACTGTGCGAGGCTGCCAAGAATAACAGATAAGGTTACCTAGAAATATTTCACGACACAAGAAGTCTTCAAATACCAACTAAGATACTGCAATGTCAACGAGGCTCGAGTTTCAAAACGTCTTTGCTTCCTGCAAAGAACGTCCGATTCACAGCTGGCTTTATCTTCTTGAAGGAGGGGGCCATTACTTTGCAGCCTTACTCCCGAGTCACCCGTGCTGCTGCAGTTGCTCTTTCCTGCGAGCAGCCCTGCTCTCACGCGCACTTGGCACAGGCTCCTCGGGAACCTCCTCATCGCTGCTGCCAGCCCTCACAATCTCTGAAGGCAGCAGCCCCTAATGGTCCCGGCCTGTCATCTAAGTCCTCACTCTCCTCAGCCGTCTTCACCTGCTGCCAGCTAACTACAACAGTTCTCCTGTGCAGGGAAACCAAAGAAGACCCAGCCGATCCGCTGGGACTCAATGGGAGGCAGAGAAGAGATGGGGTTGGCGGGGCCAGTCAGAGGTGGGGTTTTCCGGTTCTCCAAACTACTCCAAATTTCTGCTACCGGTTCTCCAGAACTGGTCAGAACTGGCTGACTACCACCTCTGCACATAACAGTATGCTACGTGTATTAAGGAAATTTTGTGGTTGATTTTGTAAGGTATGAGGAATTCCAGAAGTTATATATAAGATATAGGTTACATTTTGGAATGCATTGGTTCCGGATAAAAGGAATAAGTGTTCTCCTTGCTAATATCTAGGTCATTATTCATGTTAATATCTAGGTCATTATCCAATTAAGGATAGTATTTATTACTTGGAGAAAAAAAAACTGCTTTTCGTATAAGCTCTCAAACGGCAGCTTGTCACTAAGTGATCCAGTTCACCATTAAGGGGAACAAACACACGTTTCTTTCCACAACTCTGCCCAAACTTCCCGCCGCTAAGCAAGACCGTTGTTGTGAGATTTGTCCCCATTTTACGACCTCCCTGGCCGCAGTGGTTAAGTGAATCACTGCAGTTGTTAAGGGAATAACACAGTTGTTAAGTGAATCTGGTTTCCCCCTTGACTTTTGCTAATCACGACTCCCAGGATGCTGCAATCGTCATAAATACGAGTCGGTTGCCAAGCATCTCAGTTTTGATCATGTGACTGTGGGGATGCTGCAATGGTCACAAATGTAAGAAAAAAAACACTGTTGTAAGTCACTTTTTCGGTGCCGTTATGATTTCAAACAGTCATTAAATGAACCTGTCAGGATTCCGACAATTACCCCAATTAAATCATGAGTCACAAGCCAAACTTCCAAAACTTCAAAAGGATTTATTGGGGAGTTAACAAGCCAGCACTGCCTGGGTGTAGCCGACTCTGAGACACATCATTCATTGTCTCCCTTGACCCTGGTTTTCCCCCCACCCCCTGGATGTATCGTAAATCATATTCTCCAATGGGACACATCCATAGCCAAGAGTCATCAATCATGCTCTCCAATTAGAATTTTGTGCTGCAGAAACTTCAGTCACCTAGTTACTATCTTTGAAAAACTATTTATGGAATGCACTTTCAGTTTCCAAGCTGCTGCACTGCTCTTTCGAACCCATCTCCCCAAGACCATAGAACTATTTTATGAGTTGGAATAAGCATTATAAGTCTACTGTGCAGTGAATACTCCCTGTATTCACTGCACAGAGGAAAGATTGGGTGGCTGCTTCAGATATATTTATCTGAAGCTCCAAATTCCATTTCTTCAAACCCAGATGATTTTTTTAAAAAAATAAATAAATTATGCACGTCCCTAAATTTAACGCACCTTAGAAACAACTTTGAAAAGGAGATCTGTCACCCAGCTTCAAGGGACATTTCTCTCTCTCTCTCTCTCTCTCTCTCTCTCTCTCTCTTTTCCTTCTCTCCCTTTCTTCTTTCTTTCTTATAAACGGTTGCTTTTGAAAAGCAAACATCTGAACGTTAGCTTTGGCTTCAAATTAATATAATTTGACTGTAAGCAACCTTGGTGATGTTGTCTCGACAGGGAAATACCCCTTGTTGCATTAATTGCAAATAAGGGGAAGCAAATAAACCATCCTCCAAGGAATTGTGTGGTTAAGAAAACACACGCACGCACACAAACTGCTGGCATAATTGTTTCTTGTGGAGGATGTTTCTTGTGGAGGATCACGGCACGCAACTGCCCAACAATGACACACCGTCTGTTGTTTAAAATAGGGGAGCAAGCTAGTTCCACTATCTGGAATCTGCACTGTATATCAGACATAAATACAACTGAGTGAGTCCAGAAGTATTTTACAAGAAGAGTACTACACACCTCTGTTCGCAACAGAATACCCTACAGCCCCAGGGTTGAGATTCTAGGCTTAGACAACCTTGAACTATGTCAGCTAAGATTGGACTTAAGCATAGTACATAAAATCATATGTTACAACATCTTACCAGTTAATGAATATTTCAACAACACAAGAGAACACAACAGATATAAACTAAATGTAAACCACTCCAAACTCGATTGCAGGAAGTACGATTTCAGCCACAGAGTGGTCAATGCCTGGAATTCACTACCTGATTCTTGTTGTCACCTGCTCAAACCCCCACAATCCTTTACCCTCAAACTAACCTCTGTGGACCTCACCCCATTGCTAAGAGGTCTGTAAGGGGGCGTGCATAAGCGCGCAATCGTGCCTACCGTCCGTGTCCTATTGTCCCCAATTATTTGTTCCTATTTCCTGTATTTAAACTTATGTTTATTCTTCATTATATTATATCGTAAGCATTTGACAAAATCAATCAATCAATCAATACAAATAAGCAACCTTCGGAATGCAAGAGGCCTGTGCCTTTAACTCTGTTGACATCAGAGGTGGTCTTCAGCTGGTTCTGACCAGTTCTGGAGAACTGGAAGCAGAAATTGTGAGTAGTTTGGAGAGCCGGCACATACCGCCTCTGACTGGCCCCGCCCCC